TTGTTATCATAGATGAATATTTTATATATACATGGGTATACTTTCTAAGCCATAAACATTAGTCATTTAAGGTCTTTGACATATCTTATAAGCATGTTCAAAATGAAAAAGGTTTTTGCATAACTACTATCAAAAGTGACCATGGGACTGAATTATAAAATACTTATTTTTGAAACTTTTGTGAAAAGCATGGTATCTTTCACAACTTCTCTTCACCAAAGACACCTCAACAAAATGGGGTAGTTGAAAGAAAGAATAAAATTTTATAAGAAATGGCAGAACACTTCTTTGTGAAAAAGATTTACCAAAACACTTATGGGCTAAAGTAGTGAACATGACGTCTTACATTCAAAACAAAATATTGATAAAATCATTATTAAACAAAACTCTCTATGAGCTATGGAGAGGAAGGAGACCCAATATCTCCTACTTTCATCGTTTTGGATGTGAGTATTATATCCTAAACACTAAAGATCAACATGGTAAGTTTGACTCTAAGGTGAATAAGGGTATCTTCTTTGGATACTCAGAAACCTCAAAGGCATATAGAGTTTATAATTCTAGAGCCTCTATGGTAAAAGAATCTATCCATGTGAAGTTTAATGATGCTCTAACGACTGATAGGACATTATCAAATCTAGAAGGGGATTTTACAGAATAACAGATTGGAGATCAAATGAAAAAGCTAGACGTTTCCAATCGGATGATGGAGCCTCCTAAAAGTCAGATGAAGTCACCAGATCTCACAAGGATTGGAAGTTCATCAACCATCATCCTTAGGATCATATTTTAGGTGACAAGACAGATAAAGTTAAAACAAGATATACACTTAGAGACAATGCGTCATGTGCTCTAGTATTCAAAATAGAACCAAAAGTCATAGACGAAGTATTAAAGGAAAATGATTGGATCATTGCCATGGAGGAGGGGCTGAATTAATTCAAAAGGAATGACGTTGGACTCTAGTTCTAAAGCTATAACATCAAAGTGTCATTGAAACCATATGGGTTTTCATAAATAAACTTGATGAGCAATGAAAAGTGATAAGAAATAAAGCTAGATTAGTAGCTCAAGGCTACAATTAGCAATAAGATATCGATTTAACCAAGACCTTTGCCCTAGTTGCTAGACTCGAAGCTATCAGGATTATGCTAGCTTTTGCTACTCACAAGAACATAAAACTTTTTCAAATGGATGTTAAGAGTGCCTTTTTAAATGGATTTTTTGAAAAGGGAGATTGTGTAAACAACCTTTAGGCTTCAAGAGATTAAGTAACTTCTTACTCAATAATAGTTTTGTGGGACAAAAAGTTGACACAACTTTGTTTAGAAAAGAGTCTGGAACTAATTTCATTGTTGTGAAAATTTATGTAGATGATATCATCTTTAATTCTACTAATGAATCATTATGTGAGGATTTTTCAAAGCTAATGAAGACTGAATTTGAGATGAGCATGATGGGAGACTTAAAGTTCTTCTTCGGTCTATAGATCAATCAAATAGATGAAGGCATATATATTCATATATAAACAAAAATATACTAAAGAACTTATTCAAAATTTTAAGATGAATGATTGCAAGTCAATGCCTACACCCATGCATTCATCTGTAAAATTGTCAAAACATGAATCAGGTAAACCAGTAGATCAGACGATCTACAAATGTATGATTGAATCCCTACTTTATTTGACTACTAATAGACTAGACATTATGTTTAATGTTTGTCTTTGTTCTAGATTTTAGTCTGACCCCAAAGTCTCGTATGAAAGCTATGAAATAAATATTTAGATATCTTGCAAGATCTATTAATCTAAGTTTGTTCTATGAAAGAAATAATAATTTTAGGTTAGTAGGATTCTAAGGCACAGACTATGCTGGGGACAAAATTGAAAGAAAGAGTACAAGTGGAGGATATCACTTTTTGAGAAGTTGTCTCATCTCTTGGACAAGCAAGAAACAAAAATTCATAGCTCTTTCAACAGTAGAGTCATAATACATTTCAGCTGCTGGATGTTGTTCACAACTCTTATGGATGAAATATCATTTAGAAGACTATTCTAGTCTGGAATCAAATATACCTATATTTTGTGGTAGCACAAGTACCATAAATCTATAAAAAAAAATCTCATAGAACATTCTAAAGCTAAGTACATTGAAATAAAATATCACTTCATTCGTAATTATGTCCATAAAAGAGTTTTCAATATAACATTTATTGACATAGATTACCAATGGGCTGATATTTTTACAAAGGCTCTAGCTGAGGAATGTTTTAATTTCATTAAAGAGCATCTACATTTAAAATGCCTATCAGACTAAGACATTGATACATCATCTTATTATGCTTCATCTAACTATGTTACATGATTCATCTAATCTTGCTTCATCTGATCAATGTTTCATATGGTATTCATCGTCTTACCTTCATTAATCTAACACAATTTTCTTAAATGAATATATGTACACTAACGTCTTTTCTTAGTTTAAAAAGGTAACAGGTGCAGTAAAGAGCATTAAATGCAAAGAATTATTAGTGCATTAATTAATGAGAAAGGTAATGCATGGAAAAGTGGACATGATAGAAACGCATCTTGTCAGCATGTAATTGTTAAGTCTCAATTATACTTCTTTTTGGACAAGACTTAATGAACAATTTCACTCATTCTTTGAACCATTGCAATATAATTGCTCTCTTTTTGATTCATTTTGTGTGCAGATATAGCTACCCCATAATATAGCTAACAATACCCTAATACACCTCATTTTTGTGCAGGTATTGAGCTAGAGAATTGAGGATTGAAGACCCATAGGATTGTAAACCTAAGGAGCTAAGGAGTAGAGAAGAGTGACTGCGCCGGGCGCAAGATGACCCGCGTCGGGCTTGAGTAGAACAAAGTGCCTTATCTCTGCAAGTCATATATGTGCCGGGCGCAAGACTACCCATGCCGGGCGTGATCGAGGCAGAGAGTAATTCAAACTCTCTGGAAGACATTGCGCCGGGCGTAAAAGGAAATTGTGCCGGGCGTGTCCTGAGGCAGATAGTGCTCAACTTCTCTGGAAGGCCCTGCGCCGGGCGCAAAGACTTATGCATCGGGCGCAAAGACTTATGCGCCGGGCGCGTAACCCTAATCTGACTCTCCAAGCTCGTATTTGAAGACATTTTCGAGGGATTCTTCCTCATTCACACATTGGACGCGTTTTAGGAGCTGAGGAAGGGATTCCCAGAGCTTGGGGCCGTTCATGTGTGGGTCTTTCCTTCGGTTCTTCATTCTCTCTTCATCTCTATTTTTTGTTTACCCTCATTTTTTTGAGTGGTTCTATCCATTGTTTTGTGGGGTTAGATGTAACCAACGAATGCTATTGTAATCCTTACGTTTTAATGATATATATACATGTTGTTTCACTCATTTTTGTGTATGTTTCTATTCTTAATGCTTGCTTTGGATTGATTCTCCTTGCATGATATAGGTTCCATTGAGTATTGAAAAATAACCTTTGAAACTAGCTCTGAAACAAATTCCTAGTGGGAAATGTATCTAGGAATGGAGCTTGGCCCATTAGTAGTCTTAAACCCTAACCCGTAATGCGGGTGTAGGTATTGAATACTCAAGGGATTGATATTCATTATCTGCACCTAGGCTCTTGCTCTAAGGGATTAGGTTTGAGTAAACTTATGGGTTGACTAAGCAATGTATGTAACAAGAGATTAAGGATTCATTAGTGTGACGTTTGGTGAAATCTAACCCCACAATTTCACAAAAATCATAATACCATTTCTACCCTTTTCCACTCACAAACAACTATTTTTTAATTTAACCTTCCAGTAGTCATGATCTTAAATTCACATTTGCATGAAAAACGACTAAAATTGGAATTATTCTTTAGTCACGAATAGTCAATAAATGCTTATGTTACCTACTAATCCCTGTGGATACGATAATTTTACTACTTGAACGGCCGGTATACTTGCCGTGTTTGAGACCGTTGATAGAACAAAAGTGATTTAAAGTGATAACAAAAATAGTCCAACGGAAAATCTCAACAGTAATCACCCTTGTCAATTTCTGCCCACCAACCACGACATGCAAACTTGCCATATCTCTCTCGATCACACACCCACAAGCATGTAATTATCTCAGTCTTTCTACACCCACTATTATTCATCTTCATCCTCGAGCAAATCCTTTTTCGATCAAAATATCTAAGTTCAAAATAGCCCCAAAATCTGCCCCCTCTAATCAAAAGGTGTTAATGGAGGAGTATCCCTATACCATCTTCCTACTAGGAAAAATGATTGTTATTCTAAAAATGTAGGATGAAGGGTATCTTGTGAAGTAGTATCTTGACAATCTTGGATGGACCAAGTTTGTGAAGATAAAGTGTGAATGGTTCCATGCCTCCTATGCCAACTTCTAGGTATCAACCATTCAAGAACCACTTTCCATCATGGGCAAAGTGTAGAACATCATCATTCATATCTTTCCCCTCGCAACTATTTCAGAATGTAGGGAAGCAAGGGAAGTTTACTCAGGTGATTGGGAAGTTGTAATCACCTAGGCTATTATAAATGCTGTAATCTACAACAATGGTCCTTGTCCTTCTAACAGGATTGAGTTAAAGAGATTTTTGCACATTGCAAATATCACTCCTCCTTGCAGAATGTTTCACAGCCTCTTTTTAAACACCTTCCTTCCTCGAACAGGCTCAAGAGACCACGTCACTGATTCAGATAGGTTCCGTCTTTACTTTCTAACTCTTGCCAAAAGATAAACCTTTTGGAGCTAGTTTTCCATTAATGGAGGTCCTACCTTGCACAACACAACCAAGAGTGTGGAAAGAAAGCATCCAATCCTTATGGGATGTTGTTCACCAAAATCATCCAAAGGGCTAAGATTGATACCTCTATATTAAAAGTATTCTGGCAGATTAACGGATGTTGTGAACCAAATGCGACTTCTTGGTGAAACATCATTTATAGATCAAAAGGTTGTCAAAAAAATCATGGTTTCGGTGCCCGAAAGATTTGAAGCCAAGATTTCTGCAATTGAAGAGTCTTGTGATTTGCAAACTCTCACAATTACTGAATTGACCAGCAAGCTTCACGCACAAGAGCAAAGAGTCTCCATTAGAAGTGATGAAGTTGTTGAAGGTGCCTTTCGAGCAAAGCACAATGGAAGGAATTTTGGAAAGTCACGAACTTTCAATAAGAACAAAGGAAAAGATGAAGGTTCTTCAAAAAAA